AAAAAAAAAAAAAAAAAAAAAAAAAAAAACAATAAAGAAAAATCTTTAAAAAAAACAGCAGGTTAAATGAATTGCCTTTTCTGATAACAATCACCCGGCTATCCATTTAAACATCATTTAAACATCAATCAACAGATAAAAAGATAAACAAACGAATAGACAGATAGTTTGTTGAACGGATGAATAAACGAATGAATAGATGAACAGATACGAACAGATAGGATATCAGTGAAAAAATAAAACGACTGCCAACCTTGCAACTTAGCTCCCGTATTGTATCGTAGGCTTCTTCCAAACGTCGATGTGCATCCGAGTTGATGTCACGTAATTTATGCAACTCATGCGAAATGCTCATACAATTTTCAGCCTCCTGAGCCAAATTTACTTGACCGCGTATTAGGCGATCGGCAAGCGCTGAACTTTCTTGCTCCAAATAATCTATTCGTTGCCGTAACAGACGGTTTTCTGTTCGTAGTCTCTGCAAAAACAAAAAAAAAATTTTCTGCCATTTAAACATTGTTGTAATAAACAACAGAAAAAAACTGAAGCAAAAAAACATTTAAATTTTCAATTAAATTTCTCCTTCTGTTTTTTATTGCTGTCTTTTTTTTCTTTTAAAGACCGGAGATCAAAACCTTATCCTGCTCATATTTACATGCAATAAACAACGGAAACATTAATTTCAATCAAAAAAAATTCTTTTTTTTTGTTCTAACAAAAAAAATGTATCGTCGTCTGTCAACCAATAAATCTTCATTTCTGCATCATTTTTCTATGCAAAAAAATTCAAAATTCAAAAAAAACTAACCGATAGATAAGTTCAAAAAAAAAAAATGAGATGAAATTTTGTGAATAAACAGGGAAAAATATATTAGCTGTAGAAGAGGGAACGATAGACAGGCAATAAACATTGAAAAATTTTTTGGATCAAAGTCCCACTAAAGAAACAGACCGACAGTGTTCAAAACAGAAGAGCCAAGAATTATGGTACAGAAATGAAGGATAAGACGAAGAAGAAACAGGGAAAGGAAAAGAAGAAGAAGATAAACAAAGAAGAATAAAAGACGGTGCAAAAGAGACGACAACAATAAAGGAGAAATGGCATTCATAAATCTATATCAGTTTTTTTTTGAACACACAACTGTGTTATTTTTTCTCCTTGCTGCTGTTGTTGTTATGTATCGGTTGAGAAGTTAAGTTACAAGGATGAAATCAGTTGGCATTCTGAAGGCTATCAGAAGAATTTCTATTTTGCATTTTTCTTGCTTCTCTTTTTCTCCGCTCCTTCCTCTTCCTCCTCCCCTTCTCCATATTTACTGTACGGCAACAACATAACTTTGTTGCTGTTTTAAAATACGAGTGCTATTTGAGTATAAGATAAATTAGCGTAATCAAAACGAGAAAAAAACACATCAACTTTTCAAACCCTTGCCCTCAACAGCAGAACAAAAACAACAAAGCAAACGAAGAGAAAAAAAAGGAATAACAAAAAGAAAAAACATCAAATTCCTTTTTGCATTTTTTTTTCTTCCTATTTCCACTTTTCTATCTGCTTTTTTTCCATTATTTTTCGTTGCAATAAATTTTAAATTTGTTTTTTTCCCTTACTCCTGCTGCTGCTACTATTATTTTCCAATGATGATTCGAAATAATCAACTGAAAAATAACGGTCAGCTTGCTGCAGCAGCAAAAAATAGCAGAAAAATTGTTTCCAATATAAAAAAAGAACAAAATTCGTGAGTCAAATGACAGCTCACCTAATCAATCAAACTACTGCTGTGAAGCCCTATTTTGCCTCTTTTTTTTTCACAAATAATACAAAAACGACATTGAGTGGAAAATCCAGCAAAAAAGCAGAAAAAAACAAGGATTTCAAAGAATAATAAAAAAAAA